TGGCACACTCCTAGATAAAAGATGAATTATGCAGAGAGTGCAAGTAAATCACTGCAGCTTCTAATCCCTTACCATCCGTGTTAGCGGATGAACAAGATGATGCCTAGTTTTGGCTTGCCTTTTTATACTTGTGGCAAAGTAGTAGCTAAGCCGAGAATGAAATCAAATCTCGATTTTTTTCAAGATTCTCTAATTAATTCAACACTCCTCTTTATATGTGCCAAATAGTGATCAGTGACATAATTTGAATTTTATAATCCAAAATGTTTCTTGGTGGGTTGGATAAAAGAAAATGGCATTTGTAGTACATCTCACTTTATTCTTTTATGCAAGGTTTGTAGTAGAAATGTTTTCATATGTATTGAATTCTCCTTATTAAAAAATTATACATTGGTGATAGTGAGTATCACTCAAAATAAAGCTGTGATTGGTACCAGCAGTTAGCGTAATGGCTATGTCGCTGAACTCCCATGTAGTCGACCGCTGTTTGAGTCCTGGACCTGGTGGCTTAAACTTAGACTGGACACGTGTGCGTGCGTGCCAAAGATCCCAAGAGGAGAATGGAGGAGAAGGGATTGTGGCGTGGCCATCCCCCTGGGGGGTGATTTCTTGCTTTCTGTCTCTCTCTTTCTGGTGAGCTCACTCGCCCCATAGCAAAAACCTCTCAAAATAAAAAAAAAAATAAGCTGTGATTATTCTAAGCAGATCAAAAACAGTATTTTTTGTTGGATTTGCATGTGTGTGTGTGTAGTTTGAAGCTATTAGAAACAGCTTTTGCTGATAAAAATACTCTTTCTTGTTTTTCTAGTGTAATTACTAAAAAATGTTCATTTATAAAATTGATCTACTTTTTTGTTTGTTTAGGTTTTTGCCATAATGCACATGCACTCACCAGAGACAGTGAAAAGGAAAGTGAGAAATCACCCCCATGGGGAATGGACTCATTGTAATTCTTCCTGTTCCATTCTCCACCTAGGATTTTGGGCATGCATGCACACACGCCCTGCATAATTCTCAAGTCACTTGGCCTGGGACTAGAACTGCGGTCAGCCATGTGGGAGTTCAGCACTTTAACCACCTTGCCACCTGCTGGTCCTGATGTACTGTTTTTAACTAGGGAAAATAGCAGTGTATTTGAACAGTTTATGACTGTAATAGTGCATTCATTTGAAAGCAGAGTGATGTAAAGCTGGCACTGAGCTCTGAATGTGAGGGTGTTTCAATGCCTAGTCCTTCCAATTTCTAGTCATTTTTTTCACATGGCTTTCTTTATCAAGTATAAACCTGATTGTATCAGTTTTGGCCTTAAATCTTTTTTTAAGAATTATTTTATTTAACTTTATTTAAATTTGACCAAAGAGAGAGGGAGGGAGGGAGAGAGAGAGAGAGAGAGAGAGAGACAGACAGACAGACAGACAGACAGACAGACAGACTGAGAATGCAAGCCGCTAGATCTGGGACTCAGGCTATGGTCAGCCATGTGGAAGTCCGGTGCCCTTAAACACCATGCCACCTGCTGGCCCCTGGCCTTGAATCTTTTTATGGTTTTTCATTGCCTACAGAGCGTGGGACATAAGGCTGCTTAAGAGCTGACTATCTTGTGTGTGTCATACAATCCCTACCTCTGCTACATCTGTCTATAACCAGTTTAAGTATAGATGGTTCCCTGACTTAGGTTGGCTCAACTTACAATTTTTTTGACTTTATGCTGAGTTTATCAGGGCATAACCCCATTGTTGCATAATGCCAAGAACAACTTCCTTGCAGGATAGTGGGCATTCAACTCCATTTACTGAGTGACTGCTCATGTTTGTACATTATTTTATCATTTATAGAGGACTTCCATATTCGTTTATCTATTTGATATGAGCAATCCTGTTAGATCACTGTAATCACCACCTTCAGTTTATAGTGTAGGAAGCTGAGGCACGTAGAGGTTAATGGCTTGGCCTGTTACCTCCCGGCTGGGTGATGGGTCCTTTGCCGGATCATGTTCATCTCCCTCTCCATCCTGTTATTTCTGTACTTACTGGTCAAGGCTGCAGTTACTCTCTGTACTGGAAGGAATGTGCTTTACTGATTCTAATTAGTACTTTGAAAAAATTATTTTATTTGAGTTCCTGAGCATTTTTGTCAATTAGGCAGGTCTGGTATATTAGTGCCATTTTACAAATGAGGATGGTGCAAATCAGGATATCCAGTGGTCTTCCGGTTTGTGGAACTAAGGGTTTCAAAAGCAAAAACAAGAGTAGGTCTTGATACTTCGATCAACTACTGTCCCATGCTGCCTCTTTGCTCGACTGCAAGATATATTAGAAAGTGAAATAAATTTTTATTTTGGGGATTGTACTGAAGCAATTCTCTCATTATACTCTGTATTTAAGTGTAAGGTTTTAAAGTTAAAAGCAATTGTTGGTTTAACTTAGCATGAGTTTGTATGCCATAGTACTAGAATAATTAATGTGTAACATCTAGTGACACATTGATTGTCAGAAATGTATTACTTGAGGGGGAAATAATGTAAGAGTCAAGGAGCTGTGTTTCAGGATTTGGGATCTAGGGGAAGAAGAATAATTGTTTTCTCCAACCCCTTAGTTGGTATGGACCCCTCTAACAAACCAGATTAACAAGAGGAAACAAACAAAAGTCTAGTAACCTGTATATTTCATGTATACATGGGAGACAGAGAATGAGTAGTTCTCACAAAGGTGAATTTAATTTCAGTTTATATTACCTCGTCAACAAAGATTGGTAAATTTTGAGAGAAGTGACAAGACAAAGGAGAAGGACATTGAGTCTCTGGGGACAGCAATTTGTGGGAAAGCAACTAAATGACAGGTTTATAAAGGCTTATTTATAAAGCTTGTTAATGTAGATCCCTCTATCATCTTTAGATAAGGGTTCCAGATAACTTTTCTTCAGAGGTTAACGTTTTTTCTAAAGGGAGCAGGATACCTTTCGTTTTTGTAAATTTGTGTCCTGCTTTTGGGCAAATGGGGGAAGACATTGCTTTCCTGCATGTGCTTTAGTTCAGTAGTCTTTCACATTTGGGGCAGAATATTCTGGTTTCCTTCAGTGTTATTTTACTCATCTTGTTCTCCAAGTAATTCTCAGACTTTTCTTTGCTCATGGAAGGTAGACTCTGGGGAGGGGACATCCACACTTGTAATAGTATACTGGCCAGTAGCTGCAGCATCCCAAGATACTACTATAGTTTTGCTTCCAATCCATATCCATTGTTTGTAAAATTGATTCATTGTGGAAACGGCAGCCTCTCTCCAGAGCGTCTTGAGCATACACACGGTTCTGCAGGGAGACTCTGTACTGAGCCGAGTAGGAAGTAGACAATCTAGAATTTTTTATGATAATGACACTTCTCTCTATGATTACCCTTTAGATGCAGTGTCTGCATAAACCATGATTTCAGTGTATTTTCCTATATAAATGAACAACTGTTTTTTTTTTTTTTGTTTGTTTGTTTTTTTTTTTGAGAGGTTTTCGCTAAAGGCTGTGTGCACTCGCCAGAAAGACAGAGAGAGAGACAGAGAAAAAGCGCGAAATCACCCCTCCCCAGGGGAGATGGCCACACCGCAGTCCCTTCTTCTCCATTCTCCTCTCGGGATCTTGGGCACACATGCACACATGCCCAGCGTGAGTTTAAGCCACCGGGTCCAGGACACGAACCGTGGTTGACTACGTGGGAGTCCAGCAATATAGCCATTACGCTAACTGCTGGTCCCAATGAACAACTGTTTTTTGCAGTGTCATACTTGTGTGCACCTGAATCTGTGTTTATGGGTGAGGTAGTATGTCAAGACAATGAAAGATTACAAAGATATATGGCTTTAGTTAGTGTATACCAAATTAGTTTTCTAATTTCAAAAAATTCTACAGGAAAATATTTTATGGGGAAGATGGCATGGTATAGTGAAGAAACAGGGAATTAGGAGTCAAAAAGTTTGAGTTTTCGTTGCAGTGCTGACTTGCTTTCTGATCCTAATGAGTTTCTAACTCCTTTGAGTCTCCATTTTTCATTTGTCAAGTGTAAAATAAAAATACTCTCAGAGTAATTATGGGGATTTAACTAGAGCATAGATGAAGATTCTTCACACACTGTAAAGTGCTACTCAGATATTTATTATAATAAACAACGATTACTGCAGGTCAGGCCCTTTAACACGAACTTTCAGATTCAGACCTCTTATCAACACTGTAAAGCTGGCATCATTATCTCCCTTAGACACAGAAGTACCCTGGGATACAGAGAGTCTAAATAACTTGCTTAGGATCTGTATCTGTTATATGATGGATAGTTCTTGATTTAAGCCCTGCTTTCTTTTTCTCTGTATTGCCATAGTGTTAACAAGGGATAAATAGGGGCAGGCTTCATGACACAGGTAGCTGTAATACACCGCTGGATCCCACATGGTGACTTTTCAAATCCTCAACTTGGTCACCTGAAGCACTCAGAACACATGTGCAAGTTTCCAGCATCTCACAGGCTGGAGAACTGGAGGAAGGGGATCACTGCATGGCCAGACTCTATGGAAACAACTCATTCTCTCTTTCTTTCTCTCTCTCACTGTTACTTGCACATGTACATGCTATATCATGAATAAAGAAAGAATATTTTTTAAAATATAAGAAATAAATAGTAGAGATTTGAACTTTAATAAGTTGAATTATATTTCTAAGCAATGAGGTGGTGCCCAACAGTAGGAATCAAGAGAACCAGACTGTCACTATTTTTTGTATTATTTTGGGGTAAGTTACTTAAATACATACTGTTAAATAAATTAAAAACACTTGGCTGAATGGTTTACATTCAAGTGTTTTCTTATTTTGACTTTAATTTTCTTATTCTGACTTTTTTGGTTTATGTAAAAGTGTTTTCTTACTCTGACTTTAATTTTCATTAGGAAAATAAGTCCTTTGAAGTAGTCAAAAAGTATTTTATAAATCCTATTTTAATATGCTTTTTGTTTGACTTTTTCATTTAGTCATTCCTATACTGGCCAAGATTACAGTACACAGGGAAATGCTGGGAAGATTTCTTTAGAACAGATCGACTCAGTAAGTATCACATCTTTTTAAGCTTTGATCTTTGTCAATATTGGAAATACCAGTTTTCTTCAAAGATTTTTGGATGGGCAAATGGGAGAGGATATTATTTCATCGTTTACCTATCATTTTTAAACAAAATTTCATGTTCTGTGAATATGATTTTTTTAAATCCTAAAATTAGATTTTATTAAAACCTAATAAAAGTTATTTATTATTTGATAAAAATAAAATTTACTTATTTCAAAGAGGAATTTTTTAAGTAATGATAGCTAAATGGTATCTATATGTTAATATTTAAATACACCGTACATTGGGCCAGCCCTATAGAATATTGGTTAAGCCTTGTACATGGGAAGCCAGATCCAACATGGGTACCCATAGTTTGAATCCTGGCCCCAGAAGCATGAGAAACATGTGGACATGTGTGTCCCAAATCCCATGTGCCCCAAATCCCGAATGGATGGAGAAATGGAGGTTAGGGGATTGCAGCATGACCACTACCCACTGGGGGGGAGGGGTGTGTGCATGCGGGCTCTCATGCTCTCGCCATTCCCTCTCTCTTGAATAAATAGGTTGTCTTTTTGTGTGAATAATTAAATACTTGCAGATAATATATCCAGAAATAACAATAGAATTACCTACCTTACACAATTGGTGTAAAATTTCTTCTCAAGGATATCCTATTTTTTAATTATCTCTCTCTTTCTCACTCTCCTTTTATTTTGCTAGAGAGCACTGTGTGCTTGCTGGGGAGAGAGAGAGAAAAACAGCTAGAAAACACCTACCCATGAGGGATAGCCACACTCTAATCCCTTCTCTATTTCTTCTTTTGAAATTTTGGGCATACACACATACACATTCCTGGCATGTTTTTCTTTTTCTTTTTTTAAAAAATATTTATTTAATTTTATTCATTCATTTTAATTTGAACAGAGAAAGAGAGAGAGAGAGAGAGAGAGAGAGAGAGAAAGACCTGGGAGGGTAGTGAGATAGTAAGCCATCAGCTCTGGGACTCAAACTGTGGCCGGCCATATGGGAGTGTCCAGCGCCTTAACCCACATGCCACCCATTGGCCCCCTGGCATGTTTTTCGAGCCACTGAGTCACTGAGCAGTTATCCTTGTAGGATCCAGTTGCCTTAGCAACCCTACCACTGGTTGGCCCCTTTTAACTTTCTCCAACAGTTGTTTCATCTCTCGCCTCCACCCTTTCCCCCCATATGATTTATGTTTATTTTTAAATTTTTTTAGGTTTTTGTCATAGGGCATATTGGGTACTTGCCAGAGAGATACCGAGAGAGGGAAAGTAAGAAATGAACCCCTACCCCACCCTGGGTAGGGGTAAGCCACTATGTAATCTCTTCTCTTCTGTTTTCCTCTTGGGATTCTGGACATGCATGCACAAACGCCTGGTGTGATTTTCAAACTACCACATTCAGGACTTGAACCATGATCAGCCATGTGGGAATCCATCCTCGTAACTACCTCGCCATCTGCTGGCCCCTATGTTTACTTTATATAATATGAATGATTGGAGGTTCATTCTGTTTCTGATTTTAGGTTGATGTTTTATCATTCACAAGCAAATGTGAACTTGGTTGGATACGGTGCAAGTTCACAGAAGTGTAATCATTCATTAATTTAGCTACCATATATTGAGGCCATCAATTATGTACTAGCCACTGTGCTGTGGATTGAAATGAATAAAACAGAAAATGTACCTACCTTCGCAGACCTTATGTAGGGGAGATACATGTAGACAACATAGTAAATAATAAATGAGCAATATAATGCCTCTGCAATAGGCATTGAAAATTCATCCCAGATCCTTGTCTTATCATTTCTTTGCTCAATCGCCACAGTCATTCTTCGGTCTCATTATGAGATATCCTAGACCCCGTCTTTTCCTTTTCCATTATTTGGATTACTGTTGATTACTGTCAAAACCTATAAAGCATTCTTTTTGCTTTCATTCTTGCTCTCAAATAGTCTGTTCATTGTAGAAGGCCAGTGCTCTTTTTACTTATCGAGTCATATCAGTTTTCTGATCAACACCTTCTATTACTAAAATCTAAGCTCATTTTATGGCCTATCAAGCCCTATGAACTTGTCGTTCCAATTTTACCTTCTTCATTCTGGCTCACTCACTGAGCTCTAGCCATATGGACCTTTACTCTTAGCACACCAAGCTTGTTTCTTCTCAGGGTCTTTGCTTTTATTACCTTTTCTTTAAAAAAAAAAAAAAAGAATTATTTATTTAATTTTATTTATTCATTTATTTATTTTAATTTGACCAGAGCCACCAGGTCTAGAACTTGAACTATGGTTGGCTGTGTGGGAGTGTCCAGTGCCTTAACCACTATGCCACCTGCTGGCTCCACTTTCATTATCTTTACGTTAACAGTATTCTGGAATCTTCATTTGGTTGGAATTCAATATACATCTCTGCTGAAATACCATCTCCTCAGAGACACTTTCCTGGTGTGCAAATTATCTCACCCCTCTTTTAGTTACATTTGATCCCATTTTATTTTCAGAGCTTTTGGAATCAGATGTTATCTTGTGAAGTATGTGATATAATTATCTATCTCCTCCCATTGGAATATGGGTTCCTTATGAACAAGGTTTTTGTATTTCTTAGGAATAAGTTTTGGGACAAGCATAATGGCTATTTCACTGGACTCCCATGTGGCCTACTGTGGTTCGAATCCCAGACCTAGTGGCTTAAACTTGGTGCTGGGTGTGTGCGTGTGCATGCCCAAGATCCCAAGAGGAGAATGGAGGAGAAGGGATTGTGGCATGGCCATACCCCCTGGGGGGTGATTTCTTGCTTTCTGTCTTTCTGTCTCTCTCTGTCTTTCTGGCGAGCACATGTGCCCTATAGCAAAAACTTCCCTGGAAAATAAATAAATAAATAAATAAATAAATAAATAAATAAATAAATAAATAAATAAATTTTTTTTTTTTTTTTTTTGAGAGGTTTTTGTTATAGGGCACGTGCGCTCACCAGACAGACAGAGAGAGAATAAATTTTTTTTTTTTTTTTTTTAATTTCTTTCTAGTACCCAGGATCATAAAGGTATTAAATATTTAATGACTATTTGGTGATTAAACTAGTAAAAAGTAGTCAAGAAAGCTGAAGTTGAATTGGGTCTTGAAGAACGACCTGACTTTGGCTAGATGACATAGGGGTGGGAAGGCTACTACACAAGATAGAGCCAGAAGAGTGAGAGAAATGAGAAAGTACAAAATATGACCGTGTGATAATAGTATAGTGAATAATCCATCTGACTGGAGTTAAGGGTTATTACTGGTAATAGTAACAACCTGGGCTTTCCTCCTCTCACTTTCACAGTGCTTCCAAAGTGCTTGATTTATGACCTTGTTGGAGCCCTCATTATATTATTTACTGCATGAATTTAACTTCTGTAATAATGAATATAATGATTGCTGTGTCTTTTCCCTTAACTTACCTGAATAAAAAGGAAAATAATGTTTTTAGGTTTTCCAAAACACCTAATCAATATTTGTTCTGTTGTGTATAATTGAAAAGTAGTTAGTTATTGGACGTTGAGAGAACCTAACATGTTCGTACTAAGGGTATTGAATATGCATTGATTTTTAGGAGTTTAGAAAAATGCTTTAGAAAGAATAATCAGGTAATAATATGACGGAACAAAAAGAGTTACATGAAAAAGAACCGCAAGACTTTCCTGAGACCTGCCAAGCGAGGATGTAGGTTTGGAACGGAAAAATTTAGTTGTTACTGTGAAAGGATGAAGAGAGAGTGGATGGTCACTAGAGGGAGCAGCAGGGTCAAGCAAAGTGAGACCTGTCTTAACAGTGAATTTGCCAGGAAATACGTGAGAAAGTAGGGACTTAAGTCTTGGGAGAAGGCTAGTTGAGAAAGTCATAGAATGCAGTTGAGAACATAAGTAAAAATGTTGAGTTAAAGTAAACAGTGATATTTTGTTTGTGTTTTTGTTTTGTTTTGTTTTATGACAAAAGGCACATGTGCATAACAGGTGTATGTGTGTGAGAGAGAAAGAAAGAGAAAATGCTTTCTCAGTAGAGTCTTGTCATGACATACTCCCCTTTCCCCAGCCCGCTAGCTCCTCAGGATCCTGGGCCCTTGCACATGTGCCTGGCACATTTTTTAGATCAACCCAGGAGCCAAACCACAGTTTGCTTCCAGCATGAAAAGTGCTAGTGTTAATGCTACATCACAGTGGCCTGGGTTGTATTTCATTTTGACATAAAAAGAAAGACCTGCAATTTTTTTTCTCTTAAATATTGATTTCTTTAGCACATTTATTTAAATTCTTCTTTTAATATTCACTTATTTCTGTGTTTTACTTAGTAATTGAGCTATCTTAAAAGTTTATCTGCTGCTCAGCAATTATAATTTTGAATATATAGTTGAGGAAAATGAAACCTTCTATTCACATGGAAACCTCTATAAGGTTTATAACAGTTTAATTTGAAATATTCCGAGAGTCAGTGGTTAAATAAATTGTGGTATTATATCCATACTATTGAATAGTACTTAAATGTAATAACTCACAGGTGAACTTAGATGAATCTGGAGGGAATTATACTGATTGAAAAATACCAATCACAAAACATTACATACTACATGATTCTATGTATCTGTGTATATTATACTCTTGTAACAATGAAATTATCAAGATGGAGAACAGATCAGTAGTTGACAAAGGGATAGGGGACTAATGAGGAGAAGGCAAGGTGCAGATGGTAGTTGAGGTGGGTCTGAAAGGGACACACGAGAGATCTTTGTGGTGATAGAATTGTTCTGCATCTTAACTGGAGTGGTGAATGCATGAATCTCCTCCACATGTGGTATAATTGCATGAAATATGATCAGCCTGTGGCCTGGTGGTTAAGGTGACTGGATCCTACAAGGACGATTGTACAGTTTTAGTCCTGGACCTGGCTCTAAACACATGGCACAAGTGTCTGTATGCCTCATATCCTGAATGGTGGGAGAAATGGAGAAGAGAAGCATGACAATGCCTTGTGGGGGATGTTTTTTCACTTTCCTCCTTTCTCTTTCTCCAGCAAGCACACGTGACCTTGGTGGAAAAAAAATGCATGAAATTAAGTGTACAAATGTAGACATAAAGAGGTACCTGTGTACAATTGATAAAATCTGAATGAGGCTAGTGGATTTTATCAGTGCTGGTGGTGCTGGTATTTTGGTTATGATATTATACTATAATTTGTGAGAGTTTATCTTTGGGAAAACTGGGTACATATCTCTTTGTATTATTTTTTTAAACCACATATGAATCTATAATTATCATCAAAGGAAAGGTGAAATTGAAAATTAAGAAGAAATAGGTAAAATACATTTTAAAGATACATTTTATTGAACCCAGTGTTTCCAAAATAGTATCACTATAATATGTAATCAATGCAAAAATATTAATAAGAATAAAGTTATATGCAATCACAGTAATATAGTAATGTTTCCTTATGGTTTTTATTTTTATTTCAATTAGACTAAATTTACAGTCACAACAAATATTATGTGGGACCTGACAAGTCTTCCATGTAACCAACAACTGTTTTTTCTTACAGCTTTCTACCAAATCCTTCCCACCTTGTATGCGTCAGTTACATAAAGCCTTGCGGGAAACTCACCATCTTCGTCATGGAGGCCGAATGCAGTATGGCCTCTTCCTGAAGGGCATTGGTTTAACACTGGAACAGGCATTGCAGTTCTGGAAGCAAGAATTTATCAAAGGAAAGATGGATCCAGACAAGGTAATCAGAGCTATAACTGGAATTTTATTTAGGTCTAAAAACTGAAATTTTGGGACCAGCATATGGTGTAATGGTTATATTGCTGGACTCCCATGTAGTCAACTGCAATTCAAGTCCCAGACCTGGTGGCTTGAAACTCATGCTGGGCACATGGGCGTGCATGCCAAGATTCCAAGAGGAGAATGGAAGAGAAGGGATTGCAGCATGGCCATTCCCCATGGAGGGAGGGGAGTGTGTGATTTCTCGCTTTCTGCCTTTCTCTCTGGTGAGCACACATGCCCTATAGCAAAAAATCTCTCTTAAAAAAAGTAAAAAAATCCTAATATGTCTCTTTTTGGAATATGCTCCTTGAAATATTTTTGAAATATACAGCCAGTAAAATAAAAGGCTGAAATTGCTTTCAGAGTTATATTTCTGTAGTAATGTATGTGTATAATTATACCCACATATACATACATACGTTCAAACATACTTAATATTGTTTTGAAGCCTAGGTATATTGTGAACAAATAAAGTGAAAATAATCTAAAATGTTTTCTATTGCATTATGCAGAATCTCTTATAGAGTATTTGTAGATAGACAATGATCATTATAAACCTGAGCAACTGCTTTTAAACATATTCACAGTACTATGATTTATACTCCTGCTCCTTATTTCTTTTTAACAGTGCTACTAATAACAGTTTTTCAAAATACAGTTTCTTTTTCCTTCTATGTCATGTGGTTCTAGTATGAAGTATATATTTTTAAATTTTATTTCTCAGTTTGCTTCCTCCTAAAAAAGGTAAAATAATAACAAAAAATATTGACCAAATAAATTTTGTAACACTTTATTATGTCTTGTATTAGTTTGCTAGGGTTGCATAACAAAATAGCACAAACTAGTTGGCTTAAACAACAGAAATTTATTTCCTCGTAGTTCTGGAGTCTGGAAGTCCAAGATCAAGGTATTTATAGGCTTGGTTTCTCCCAAGGCCTCCTTCCTTGGCTTGCAGCAATGTGCTGTGTCCTCACACTGGTGCGTCTTCTCTTCTTCTTGCAAGGACATCAGTCATCCTGTATCAAGGCCCCTGCAAAGATATGATCTTATTTAACCTTAATTTCCCCTTTAAAGATCCTTTCTTCAAATACAGTCACATTTGGGAATAGGACTTTAACATAAGAATTTTGGGAAAGCATAATTCAGTTCATAATGTGCCTCTAGCTATATATTGGGTCGTCAGAAAAGTCATGACGTATTTCTGCATAAAAAACAGAAAAACAGATTCATCATGACTTTTCTGACAACCTAATATTTTATTTAAAACTTTAGATCTTTTTATAATGTAGTGTAAGTGGCTTTTGGAGTTTTTATAGTTTTTCTTTTTTAATAATTTCTAGAGGCATGTGCACTTGTGGGGGGGGGGCGGTTAGAGAGGAGAGAAAATGAGAGAGCACCACTGTCTGTGGGAAATGATAAGCTGCAGTCCCTTCTCCATTTCTCTCCCCTTTTGGGATTTCAGACATACACGCACACACGTCTGCAATGTTTTTTGAGCTGCTGGGTCTGGGTCTCAAACTGTACAGTTGACCATATGTGATTCGGCTGCCTTAACCACTGTGCTACCAGTTGACCCTAGATTTATTTTAAAAACTATCTTCATTAGTAATTTTCCATGTACCCTTACATAAGACATTTAATAGTGTTTCTTTTAAACACCGTTTTGAAAAATATTTAGGCTTCTATGTCCTTTATTTTAAAGGCAACATATTCTGGGGGTCGGCAGGTAGTATGGTAGTTAAGGGCGCTGGACTCCCACATGGCTGACTATGGTTTGAGTCTCAGATCTGGAGACTTGCTTTCTTACTTCCTCTCTCTGAAAATATTAAAACCATAATAATAAAGTTAAATAAAATAATTCTTTAAAAAATAAAGGCAACTTATTCTGATTATAGAACATGAAAAATACAGAAACATTTATATGTCATTTTACCCTACTCAAATAATTACTATCATTTCAGCCTTTTTCTCTACTCTAGATAGCTACATCCCATTGTGTTTTTACCTATTTAAAAAATTAACATTATAATATGATAATTTCTCCATGTGTTGTCTGATGTTTGAAAATTTCATTTTAATTAGTTGTATAATACATCTTTTGATATTGATATAATTTGTTTAATCATTCTATTGTTGGACATTTGGTTGTGTCTAATTTGACTCTGTCATAAATGTGTTACAACCAGTATCCTGAGGACATAAATCATTGATTATGGTTCTGATTATGCCCTCTGTATATATTTACCAGGAAATAAAATTACCTAGCATGAAACTATAGACAGTTTTATAGTTTTGATGCATGCGATGAAATGGCTGTTAAGAAAGGTTTTAAATTAGACCCTTATCAAGTTAAGTGAGAATTTTGCTATGCAATTGATGTCATATATATTATTACTTAAATTTTTTTTAACATCTTTTTATTACAAATTGGATGTACTAAGTAGGTAGGTGTATTAGCACTCTCCAGAGAAATAGAATCTCACATGTGTTTGTGTTTACATGCAGAGAAAGAAAAGGAGTAGGTGTGTGTCAGGGGGTTAGAGGAAGATACTGATTATTGTAAGGAATTTGCTCACATGATTATAGAGGTTAACAAGTCCCAAGCTCTGTAATTGGCAAGCTGGAGATCTACAAGCACCAATGGTAGTTTTAGTCTGAGTACAAAGCATTAAAAACTAGTAGAGCCGATGGCATAGTTCTGGTGTAAATACTGGCAGGCCTGAGACCCAGGAATAATAGATGTTTCTGATGGAGTCCAAAGGCTGGGAGAAAGTGGGGCCCCAGCCGAGGGTGTGAGGCAGGAGAAAATTCTCGCTTTCCCACAGGAGACTCAGTCAACCATTTCATTCTGTCCAACCTTCAGCTGATTGGATGACAGCCACTCACCTTAGGGAGGATCACCTGCTTTACTCTCAACACCAACTCAAGTGTTAATCTCATTCACAAACACCCCTAGACACTTCCAGAATTATGCTTGACCAACTATCTGGTTACCTTGTGGTCCAATTAGGATGACACACAACACTGTTAATATTTGTGAGCCAGAGAGAAAGTGAGGCAGTAGTTTTGAAATGAAAAGAGAGAAGCCAAGTTAGGATTTTAGCTTTGTTTATGCTGTAACTAGTAGAAAGAAGAAAAGAGAGAAACCCATCTATGCTAGTCAATGTAGACAGGAGCTCTGAATACGAGGTGTTTAACTTAACAGCTGTTCACTGTCCTGTCTTCTTGTTGTACATATGGGGTGGCATGCATATCAATGTCATCAGTATTCAAGATTTTTATTTATTTATATTAAAGTTTTTACATTTTTTTCAAGGCCAGCAGGTGGTATAGAGGTTAAAGTGGCCAACTTCCCAATTTGAGCCCTGGATCAGCAGCTTGAAAATCACACTGGGTTCATGTGCCCAGAATCCCTGGAAGAGGATGGAGAAGGGATTGTGGCATGGATATTTTTCCTGGGGAGTCCCTATTTTTTAATTTTCCTCTCTCTCTCTCTCTCTTTCTCTCATGAGTGCACATACCCTATACAAACTGGAAAAAAGTTAAAATCCCAAACTTTTTTTTTTTTTTTTGGTTAGGGAGAGACAAGCAGTCTTAACAAGTCTCATGCCATAATCCCCACCCCTAAGCTTTTACCCAGCCAGGAACATATGCCCATGTAAACACTTTTGGAATGTACAGATTGACCTAGGAACTGAACCCTGATCGTTCATATAGCTTTTAGCATTGCAGAACTTGGCAATTCAGCTGTGCCTATGTAGACTTTTCTTTTTTTAAACCTGTGTGTATTTAAAATTTCTTTTAATGGGATTTTTATTTTGTAACCTAAAGTAGTTTTAAAAAATTATTATAAAATAAAATCAATACATAATTTTTTAGCTTTCTAGATAATATATAGTAGTCTTTATTTTCATTAGCTCATTATTGATTACAGCAAACATTTTGACTAGAAGATTATAAGTTGTACTTGTGACTTACTGTAAGTAGTATTCTGCTGCTACACAGTCTGTATTTATAAACGGATGTTCCTGTTTTTCTCAATTATGTCTTCTCATACATGTATTTGCAAGGAATTGTAATAAACTAAGGGATGCTAAATTATCATTGCTTTAATTGAATAAAACTGTTTGTTAAATGATACATATAAAATACTCTTAAGTGTAACACATTATTGATTTAAAATACTATTTTATAGAATATTTTATAAAATAATCATGGAGGATATTTATTAGATAGTTTTTATGGTGGTTTAATGAAAGGATTTAGGTGTTCAACCTGACTTGGATGATTTGGAATAACTTTTATGAATAGCTTATTTCCTCAAAGTGCAAGAACAATGCTGTAGCAAGGTCAGTTTCAACTAGAATTCTCCTTCACTATTGTCTTCTAAATGATCATATCTGATTTTTTCTTTTTATGCTTGTGTCCTCGTTGTAAGTTATTTGAGGTGTGCTGCTGTGAGCATCTAAGCAAAAATTATGGTACTTCACCATAACTTTATTAATTTTTTTTTTTT